GGGGGGGGGGGGGGGGGAAAGAGAGAAAGAGAGATACGTCGATCAGCGACGTTCAATGATTCACGACAAAAGAGTATTTTGGAGCGACGATCAATAGCGGTAGTTTCCAGAGGAAGAGAGAAAGAGCTGATCGTCGCGCGGTCGAGTAGAACCCGCGAGGATCGCAGGCTTCGTTCTCACGCCGAAGAAGTGGCAGAGCCACGGGGTCGCGCTACTTCGCGGAACGCGAATCCTCCCAACCACATTCGTGGATATTAACGAGCGCGCGCGACGAAAGACGAGCGTCGCGAATGATACTCGGAAAACAGAGCGTGCCGTCCTTAATAAGCGGCGTTAATAAGCGCCGACGAGAGAGATCGGTGCACCGGAGTGCGAGTGCGCTCGTATGTTGGCAAGACGGAAACAGTTGGATCACTCTTTGGTCAGCCTGGTCCAAAGGAAAGTCCACTAAACGAATTACGCGTTGGCGCAATAATTTGCGTTGCATTGATATCGGTTGCTGACCAAATCATTGCATCAACTGATGAACTCTGTGCGACAATTGTATAATTTGCTCAATCGACCGGACGCTTGCTCGTGCAAGCAAAGTCTCGTTGATTGCACGCGGGCAGAAAAGATTGCTTGAATGAATGTAACAATGACACAACTGCGTGCATTTTGACGGGACCAAATTCGACTCTTGCGAAATTCTGTTCCCTTCAATTCAAACGCACTTGTCATTGCGTCACTGTCGTGAGAAGTCTACGAGGCGCCGTGAAAAAGCCAAATTTCCTAACCAACCCCCACTGTACCTCCACGCTGTGCATTTAACAATCGCTCATGATGGCGATACCGCAACGAACCCTCCACCGCGCCACCGTCGAGAACAGGCCGTTCCACCTGCGATCGTTCGGCCATTATTTTCGGATACGCCTGGGCGCATCGAATTTATGCACGCGCACGCACACGTGTGCATGCACACGCGGAGCGCATACGCACATATCCCCGTAAAGCCGGAACTCTCTTCCGCGCGACTTAACGGCTACTTGTTACTGCCAGGCGGGGACGCGCGGGGAGGCGAGAGAGGCCCGACTTATTATCGCGATAATTAACAATTTCCCGAATCATCAGACCGCGAATGCAAGTTGCTTTTTGCTCACCGGCCGCGCGTTTCCTTTGACCCGCGGATTCCTCCGTCCGTCTGTTTTGAGTCGATTCTCTCTTATCGAAAATTTAATGGAACGTCATCCAACCGCTTCGCGGCCTTTGCGCGATTCTCCGTGTCGGATATCTCGTTGACCGAGGCTGAAATTACGATTTCGTTCGAGTGAGGATCCTGCTGAAGCACGCGCGCGCCGAATGCGCGCGAGACTGTCCGAGGAATAAATCTTTCGTCAGTCAGTCAGTGAGTCAGTTAACAATTCGGCGAAAACTTTGTTCCCCGACGAGCTCCCGATCGCCGAGGTCATCAATCGGAAGGCGCGTCAACGCTTCTGCAGGGGAAAATTCGACTCGAAATTGGCCGAAAGGAATTCGCAGCTCGAGGGAAACGCGGTCGATCCGAGACGCTCTGCACCGAGAGACTGTTCCCTCTTCTCTCTTCGATCTCTTCCGCTGCTCTCCTCTCGTTCTCGCCGTACGACCGAGACCGGGAAGGCCGGGCGTGGAAGTGCGATTAATTGTGAAAGATAATGGACGATCAATCACAGTGCCAGTTGGTAATCTTACGTGAAACGTAAAGGATCAAAGGGTTATTTGTTTTCCGCCGTTCTCACCGCGCCTAATTTTCGACCGCGAAGTCGCGGATCTTCGCGACCGCCGCGGCACAACATCTCACTTCCCCGAGTGCTCATGTAGTGCAATAAGCATCGGTTACTCGCGATAATAACCATTCTTCAATATTCAAAAATTGTATCGATAGTCGTTACTTGAAACTTGCCTCATCTAATACTCAAATCTGAATTTAGACCCGTATCAATATATTGCATAATTCAGATAAAAAACTCAAATCTAACTCTAAATTCAGATCTGTATTTCACGCGCGACAAACTGCAAGTAACGACTATTAATACGAGCTCTAATTTCTTTCGCGATGAATATATTCATATGACAACGCTATTTCAGCGCTCTTGATTCTTACTATTTGGTTCAACCGAGCACAATTTCCTAATCAATATAATATAATAATTAATGTTATCATTGTGTTTCTCGATTCACATCGCTCTCTAGACGTCAAGATTCTCCTAGACCGAATTCTCTTCCCCCTCGGACAACGCATACTGCGAAACAACTTCCCTTCCCCCGGCAACCCGTCCTACTAATAATCTTCCCAAAAATAGCGACCGCCGCATCAATCGACGAAAGAGTAGGAAATGAGTCAGTGCGTTTACTCACATTGTTGCTTGTGCCTGGACTCCATGAGCATCATCTGCTCGTGTTTGTGCCACGCAGCGTCGGTAGTGTCGGTGCCGGCGATGCCCCTCGCCCCCGCGGAGGGTGGCTGGACGCCTCCGCGTCCCCCGCCGCCCCCGCCACCGTACTCCATAACGGCGACACCCTACCCCGCCCTTTCGTTGCTGCCCTCGGCAGTCCTCAGACGCTCACAACATGGAGCCAGCCAGTCCTCTCGATGCCGCACGATCGTTCTCTCTCCCTCTCCTCTCCTCTCCTCTTTTCTCTCACCCCCTTCTTCTTCCACCCTTCTTCTCCTCTCTGCCTTCGGCACCCTTTCGGTATCCTTCCGGCCGCCTGGCAAACGGGACTCTCTCTCTTTCTCTCGGCGATTTCTACGGGATATCGGCCCGGTCAGTCTCCGCGAGTGTATCTCCTCTGTAAAGGGGAGAAACGCCAGCGATCCGGGCTGGAGAGCATCGAAACAACGTCCAAACAACCGTGACGGTGTATCCTTTCGTTCCACCGTTGCCTCTGCCGCGCGTCGTCCCCGTCGTCCCCGTAGTCGTCGCCGTCGTCGTCGTCGTGGTCGTAGTCGTCCTCCTCCTCTTCCTTTGCTTCTTTCCTTCCACTCGACGACGGCTCTCTTCTTCAGGAGGAGCACCTTAAATCTTCTCTCGTCTATCGAGGATGCTCGAACGTGTCGTTCCTTGCTTCTCTCTCCGGCCAGGCCGCCTCCTCTCTTCTCGCTCTCATACGAAAAATAGCTCTTATTTACACGCACGCTCACGAGTCGCCTTTATATACATATATATATACATATATATTTATATAACTATGTATATATATACATATATATACATATATATATATATATATATATTCCGGTTTTCCTCTCGTTCTTCTTTCTCTCACTATGTTTCCTATATATCACTCTCTGGCTTCTTCCTCTTTTTCCTACATATATATATATATATATGTGCATATATATATATATATATGTATTTTTTATCTCGCTCGTGTGCTCTTTCACGCTCTTTCACGCTTCGCGGCTAAAATTCTACTAGCTTTTGGCGGTGATCCGTTGCGGTCCTCTCTTTCTCTCTCACTCTCTCCTTCTCTGCTTCTTGTGTTCTTTCCCGTTATTTTCTCTCTTCTTCTCTAAATATATATGTATATAGTCGGAGGATTCAGCCTTCGTTTTTCCGCTCGTCACAGCGTATTTCGGAAAGAGGGTGGGTGGGTAGGGGGGGAGGACGAAAGGGCCCGGTCACTTCGCGTCGCTGTCAGCCTTCATGCTGTGTCGGCGGCGGGGCGGTGCGATGATACCTGAAATCAAAATGCAGCAAATGTTAGTTAATGACACACACCAACACACACCCACGCGGGTGGAAATATGCGCGCGCGCGAACATTCCGATCGCGTGTTGGAGCCGCGGCTTCGACGGCGGCAAGATTCTCTCCAGCGCGCCCTTCCCCCTGATTCATTGATGGAGCATCATGTTCCGCGGTGCATGCCGGAACTTGTGTACATAAAACTGTACACGCGCATAAACGTAAAATTCCGAAATCGTGGCGGGCGGACCGCGAATGACACTTTTATCCGAATTCCATGTAAATGCAGTCTTTCTTCCTCCCTTCCTCCCTCGCTCTCTATCTATCTATCTCTCGTCAAGAGTCGCTCTTAGAATTCAATCGTAAAATCCGAATGTCTCGTCGCGGGACACCCAGTACACGCTACGCCGTCGGGCGTGCGCACGAGAGGGGGGGAAGGGTACGCACCCACTGGTCATAAATTAACAATCTAAAAAGCAGCAAAACAGCCTATTGTCACGCGAAGCTGAAGTACGTTACTCCGCGATAGAAGGCGCACCCGTCGAAAATCCCAGCCGGAATCGTCGCGAAAGCGACGGCGGCGGTAACTAATTCATCCGTGCAAACGCGGAGGAGAGTTCATCAGCACCGAGGGCGAAGAGGGAAGGGGGGAGGGAGCGAAACTAGCCGCCGTTGGCGGCGGATTGTTGCACCGACGACGCGTTGCAACATCCACCGGCCAGATGCGCCGATTCTCAGATGTTCGATTACGACCCGTATGCTCTCCTCGATCGCGCGTACTCTCCTCTCTCGACACCCTCAATAATTCAAGGATTCTCGCAACGAGTCGCCTCCCTGGCAGCCCAAGCAGCCTCTCCTCCGTTGCGCGGCTTATTATTATCCCGATTGCATTCTTTCTCCGGGAGAGCGGGTTGGCCGTACATGCATTCGTCCCATTAAGAGTTCCGAGAATAAAATCCGTCACGTAGTAAAATCTGGGATATGCCTTTAAATAGCGGATCGGGTCAGCTTTTTGCGCGCATCGATCCGATCCCGCGCAGTGGTGGATTTCACGACGTGCGGTCGTTCAGGGCACCGCGAGCTTCGCGATTGTCCTCTCGTTTTCAAGTTATATTCTCTCCTTTTGAGCTTCATTTGCTCGTGACCAAACCGGCACGGTAAACAATAATTTCCGAGCGAGCTTCTCTCTCTCTTTCTCTCTGCTCTGTCTGTCTTCTCGGATCGTTCACTTCTACAATGTCCGTGTGATACTGTGATGTTTAATGTCGTAAAGAGACTTGGAAAACACGTTAAAACTATATCAAGCTCCCTCTTAATCTCTTCAACGATGATTTAAAATAACTGCGCGATTCCCCCAAAGAGGGTGACTTTCTTTTTTTTAGAAATAAGCACATATCTAGATCTCTCTTCTCTTCGTTGCCATTTTGTTCAAGGAACATTGAAAAACTGAATATGAAATAATTTTATACTTGCTGCGCGTGTGAGTTGAAAAAATATACCACAGTCTAAACGAATCAAGAGAAATTTAATATTTCACTGCGAAACTTTTCCAAGCACACACCACTTAAGGGATTAAGCTCACAGAATGCGTCAGAAATGATCGTCGGAAAAACACAAGAGTTTAAAGTCCCCACGATTCTAAACCCACGACTGACACGTCCACGCGACGGCTGAGTGAGTTTTCGGCTGGTCGGCCGGTCGATCGCGATCGATCCATCTATCTTTGGCGATATGCCGCAGAGATGACGGCAAAAAGCCGCGGAGAAAGGTCGCGACACCTAACTCGCGGTGGCATGAATGGCGATCACGAGATCTACCCCCCACAACGCGGAAAGGCCCTTTAATGCGGGCGATCGCGATAGCGCGCCCTTATCTGGAATATTTAAGTGTCCGGTTAGTGTAGTCGACGTGCACGTAAAATGTGTATATATGTGTACGTGTGTGTGCAACTATCAACGTGGGACACGTCGAGGGACGATCGGGAATTTCGAGGCCGTCAACCTGCGACCGGTGTGGGCGAGAAACAGATCGGGCCGAGACAAATCGCGACGCCGCGGGAAATTCGGCACTCGAGTGCTTGCTTCGTGTTACTTGAAGGTTACGTCTCGAGCGAATTTCGTTGCCGTTAGTGATCGATAACGATCGATCGTACGTATCGCGCAAGATTAGTTCGCACAAAAATTGTAATCTGTACGCGAGTGCGTCCCCGCAACGAGTGCGTCGCGTCGCGTGCTTATCTCGACGGACTTGCAGCGCTATCGATACAATATCGCGCCATGGCGATTATAAATAACACGTGACTCACGCCGGTACATCTTGCTTGCAAATTTTGCACAATTACTTACATCTCCTTGCATTGTTGAGATTTTTTAACTGCGCGTAAAGAAGGAGTCCTTTCGAGAACGACGATTGCCAAAATTCTCGCAAGAACCTTTGATTTTCATCGTTCGCTTTACATCTTCATGATAATCTTGCAATTTGCGATCTAGCATTGTCAGAATTGTGCGTGGAGTAACACCTCCTCGAACAGAGTTGTTAAATTCACGAAGAAAATTTTTCACGAATAATTTCCAAAATTTCCTCAAGACTCTGCGGTTTTCGTCGTTTCTTTCATACATCCGCGACTCATGATCGATAATTTTACAACTGGTCGAGGTGGCAATCGACAGTCGACGTAGTCGCGATTCAAAATTAATATTCAAACGGACAAAGTGGAGCGCGGGCGCATGGATTCGCATGGCTCGCAAGTAAACCGGACTGAATCTTTAATATTGGCGAAAGTCACGTGCGGAAAATCGTGTCGATCGTTGAGGGGGAGAAAGGAAAGTCGCTTTTTCTCGCACGCGCGCACACACACACACACACACACACACACTTTACGTCGTGAGCATCTTCCGCGAAGTAATTTCGCGACGTTTAACAACCTTCGCGAACGAGAACGCGTAAAGACACACGAGACCCTTCGGGACATTCTAGTTACGAGTCGCGAGCACCCTTTCGATGCTGTGAACGAAAAAAAAAGTTCGGCAAACACGATCGAGTATTTTCATCGACAAAAGTACGTCCCGCGCAATCCTTTGCCTTGCGACCGCGGGTAGCAATTTTGAATTTCGATCAATCGTCACAGTAACCGTATAACAGGTTCGCATTTATAGTTACCCCGGCGTGGTGGTGTGGTATCGGTTTTGGGGGAAAAAAAAAACAGTTTAATCGTAAGTTTCAATATGCTGTTTGGGTACAATAACTATTGTTGATCCTGAAGGGAGCACCAGGAGTTTTCTGTGCGACGGAAAAAACGCAATAAAGCAAGCGCGATGCGCTTGCTTTTCCGATTTTTATTGAAAAACGAAATCGAGGTTACATCGAGATCGAATTCGCGCGCGATTCGCGATACGTGTGTATACATATGCGTATAAAAAAATATAAATATATATACACACACATATACATACATATAGTATGCACACGCCATTAATTATTCACTATTACGTTCTCACAAATCCGGGACTGTTCTCGTACGGAGCGACGCAAAACTCGAGGGGTTTCCGCACGAACCGGGCGATTTCGGATTGGCTTTATCAGTCCCCGATCGACAGGCGACGCGCGACAGTCGTAGCGCTTCTCCGGTCCTCAGAGTCAACGGATTTAAACGTACGGCGGATCTTCCTCGGCGACTCGGAGTACCATATGTTCCCCGATATGTACGTAGTCGCGTACGTACGGCGAGGTTTTGTTCGCGGCACGCCGCGATCGATCGCGCCGAGGGATCGTGCAACATTGTGCGCTCCATAGAAACAGAACGAAGCGCTCAGGTTTGGGCCAGGTGGTCTTCGCCCTTCCCCACTTGACGCGGCGGAACGGCGGTTGGTAGAAACGCGAAGCCCCGGCACGCATCAACAGCTGTTTCGCCCTTATCGACGATCTGAGCGAGGAAAATCTACGATTCCGCTGTGGGCGGCTATCGACTCGCCGAGACGCGTGCTTACGACGAGACCTCGATACCGTGTCAATACATTCGATATATTTAATAGTGCTCGACTACGCCTGATGTCGAATTGTTGATTAAGACAGAGGTGTAATGGCGTTGGGGCAAAATTCTTAGAGAAGCCTGGAGCCAAATATTGAAGTTGAAGATTAAGACACACATATATATATATATATATATATATATATATAGAATATATATATAGAATATATATATAGAATATATATATATATATATATATATATATATATATATATATATATATATATATATATAGAAAGAGAGAGAGACAGAAGTGTTTATTTATTCTATAGAGCATGCCCTCTGAGGACTTGCACGACGGTATACAAGGAGAAGACTTCGAGTCAAGAAATTTTGATCCTACTGTCGACCTCAATATTCTATTTAACATCTATTTTGATACCCTGAAGCCTGTATAAACCTCTTTCGATTCTATTTAACCTACCAGTTTCGCCGAGAGATCCCCTTTAGAACCTACAAGTGGTATTTTGTTGAGTTTTCTGCCATTTATAGGGACGTTCAAGTAGGATTTTAGTTTCCATGTGTATTACACACCCTCAAAATACACAGATGGTAGAAAGTTTAGGTCCAAAGTAGGGCTAAAATTTCGACTCGGTTTCGCTGACAATTTAATAACGTAGTTTCATCATTACGCGACGCGATTAAAATCTACAGTTGTGTAATCTAAAAAATATCATAAAATGAAATTGTCAACTAATGAACCAGAAAAAAAGAAAAGAAAAAGAATGCATTTACATAAAAGAAAGGAACAAACAAACGTAATCTTATATGTAGACAAGGATAAAATGTAACACTGCACTGCAGTTATGCAGAAGGGTTTTCAAACAAATGATCACACATACACACACATGAAGTTATCCCGCAGAAGTGTCTAACGAGACAGAAGTTTCGAATAGAGTGAACGTAGGTCCCATAGATATGCAGCTTTACAGGAAAAGGAGCGGCGCGCAGGATCGGCGTGTAGGTAA